TCTGTCTGCCTTCTTCTTCTTTAAAATAGATGCAAAACAAGCAATGAAAAAAAAAATAATCAGAATTTCTTACTCTATGCTTGTTCAGGGTCAATGATGTAGAATGTGTGGAACCAAAGAATCAGCTACATTTAAACATTTCCTCTCCCACTGGAACAACCTTCACGCATGCACATAATATAGCCTTCTACACTAATACAATATAAAATAACTCAAAGTAAGTTTATTAAAATAGCTTAGAGTCTACAGTAGATATAACCATTTCCTTCTATCAAACCAAACAACTGGGGAGATAATTACCGGTACTTGTAACAGCTGCAATAGGTCACATGCTCCACTGTCTTCCTAACAGAAGTGTTAATCATTAAAATATAAGGCACACTTCTGCCTTGAGACATCTTCTTAATCCTACTTGGGGTGTGTTATTGCTGTAGTTTACTCAAATTAACCAGTATTTAGTTATTGGAGAAGCATCACCAAACATAGGTAAGTGTGGAATGAGAAAACAGATGTGTGGGAGGCATATGGACTGAAGCCTGCAGGCAATGAACTCATAAAATATAGACAAAGAAGAACAGCAGCTACGAGCTGTAGACCAAAACTGCTCTAACAAGGTTATAAATCACAGTTATTACACAAACATGGTGCATATGTGCCCTTCATTAGGAAGTGTGTACAGTTTCTAAGCACTTCACCTCTATCTTGTTACTAACCCTCATACATTTGTGGTGTCTTGCTTTTACATCACTGTCATACCCCCTGCAGCATTTAAGGGTTATGGTTTGTTTTGGTATCACTGCTTCAATATACAGTTTTACTGGATTAGGTAATACAACAAAAAGCTAAGAGGTTTACCTAGAACATATAGGTGCCTTGTTTACAAAACTCATTAATCTCCTAAATGTTAATGGAAATATCCTTGATGCTTCCAATTAATTGCAGGCTCACCAATTACAATTACTGATACACCGCAGGGTGTATGAACCAACAGCAGGACAGGAATAATACTCTCAATACTCACTAGATCATTAGGTGAGACACTAGTTACACCTCATTGAAAATGTTTGTTGCTTCTAAACAAAAAGATTGTGCAAGCCATCTGGAAATCAAGAGAGGACCTAAGCATTGGAAGCATACTCTTCCTATACCAATTAAAAATGTTATAGACAAAAATGGCAACCAGGCTGAGAGCTTTTTTTTATATGATTGGGATGCCGAAATGACATCTTTCAGCTCTATGGCAATTTATGGTCTTATACACACAATCTTTCCATAGTCATGTGAATTTGATGACAAGAATAAATATTGAATGTAAATATGCTGTATTATTTATGAATCAAAAATATTTCTGCAAAGGTTGCTTTACTTTTAAATACAATATATAGAACTCTACTACACAATGTAAACATACCCTAGAAGAACTCGATCCACTGCGACATTGGTAGATGAAGAAATAAGGAGTTTCCAGTGAGATGAATCCTGTTCATCAAAGGGATCAACGCTTTCAAATAGCTGAACTAAGAACAAAACCACCACAGCCAGTAGATAGCTTTTTCCAGCACCAAACACTCCTGAAAAGTCAAAAATGTTCTCCATTTTACAGTTTGCTGAGCAAATATAGAATATTTGTACTGTACAATCCTTTTATTGGAGTCCATTGAGGCACATATGGACTTTGGGTTATACCGCCGCCTACAAGGAGAGTGGATAAACCGAAGTTTAAAGGAGAACTATGAGGTGAGTGCTTTTCACTCACCTTATAGTTCTAGCCGACCTGTGACAATGAGACTGTCGCAGGTCGGCTCAGTAGATCGGGAGGTGAGCGAACACATACCGGCGTTCGTTCACTTCTCGATCCTGTCATTGCTCTCTGCCGTGACAGGGGAGGGGCTGGATGCCCCCCCCCCCGCTCCGCCAGCGCTGACGGCCACAACGGACAGGGGAGGGGACAGTGGGCTCTGCCTTTCGATAGGCAGAGCCAGCTGTCAGTCACGCAGCTGGGTGGATCCCGGCACAATTGTCGGGATCCGCTTCAGCTGCGGCGTCTCAGTATACCGCGAGCAGCTGCTTGCTATATATTGAGACGCCGCAGCTGAAGCGGATCCCGACAATTGTGCCGACGGTATACTGAGCCTAGGGTGACGGGAGGACGCTAGTTTGTGTCCTCCCGTTACCCTAAGGAGAACTATGGGGAAAAGACTTAACCCCATAGTTCTCCTTTAAAACTGAAGGCCAGCACCGTGATGAACACTCGGGGTGCATAGGTGAGATTGAAAGTCGGAGCACTGGAAAGATGGGTACCTGTAGGTACGTGTCCTAACTGACCACAGAGAGCAAAACATTCCCATGGAGAAGGAAAGCAATGTCAGATCTTGTGGATACAATGCAACATTTTTGGACCTACAAGCAACAAATGAGACAGATGATCCCTTTGGAAAAGAGAACAGTAACCAGGTTGGAGTACAACTCCTGAAACCTTTATGCCATAGGAACTGGGCAATGATGCCTTGGTCCAGAAGACCCAGAAGAGCTGGATCTGTGCAGTGATACTAGTAGGTTAGAGGTAAGGAGCCACAGAGTAAGCAGAAAGTGAATGTTCAGTTTGTATCCTTGGAATATTTTCCCCTGCACCTAAGCGTCTGAGAGGCAAACTATCAGGTGTCCCCAAAGATTAACAAGCATCCCCCCCACTTTGAAAAGTGGGGATGCACCTTAATGCTGGTGAAAGTTTTACAGGCTTTTTACTAGAGGTGCGCCGAAATGAAAATTTTAAAACCGAAATAAGAAAAAATGTCGGGCCGAAACGGAAATATTTGTTTTCTAACACAATTGGGGTAGGGAGTTTGAGAGGATGGGAGAGTAATGGTGTAGGTAATTTTTTGCTTGACGCACTTTGGGCCAATTAGTACCGATTGTCCATTGCCTGAATGACACAGCCTATCTGTTGCTAACCATGTGCATTTCTTTATGGCCACAATTCAGTGTGATGAAGTGTCCCTAAAGAAGTGCTTGATGAGTGTATATTTCCCATAGTATACATTATCAGCAATGACTCAATCGTGGTCAAACAAAAGTTATACACTAATATACAGTAAATAGGGTTGTTTGCTCATGGCAACTAATTACAACCGCTGTGCAAGGCAAATAATGCAATCTGTCACATGACTGGTTGCTGCAAGTGCTAGCGTTTATACATCAGTCCCAGAGTGTATGCCAGAAATTAAGCACAAAAGGAAATGCAGTTTCTAGCTTTTTTTTTGCTTACCATGAATAATAGTGATCGGGGGGCTTTGCTGTTTCCGAGGTCCATCAGAACCACACATCATTAGTGCCGCTTGCATCACAGCAGCCGCTTGGTCTTCATTTAAACAGAACTGATTAATCATATCTTGTGCTAAATTCATTACAAAGGTATGATCTGGAATCTCACATTTGCTGGAAATCTTTGCAGTAATAGCAGGTGGCTTGAACTTTCCTCTTGAAATCTTATTAGGCTTTTCACATTCAGAAGACCTGGAGCAACAGACATAAGGTACAGTAATGAAGTTTGTGACCAATGAATCTTAACAAAGTCAGCTTAGTAATATATGACCAATATGGAAGGTAATATATATGTAATCTTAAGGGCAGGTGAGTGCCTGTTTGCATCCCTTGTGTTTTCCAGAAATGGTCAGTTATGACTAGGGATGAGGTTCAGGTTTGCCACTAACATGTGTTCGAGGAGAATCCTGTGGGTTTAAGATTGCAGTTCTGGCGAGGAGAATTTAAAAAAAAATCTATGACAGGAAAGTATGAAGGGCCAATGAAGGGGGTATTTGGATAAGCCAGCCCCTGACTATAAATGAAGCGGCAAAGGGTGCAGAGCACAGGAAAATCAGAGGCAAAGCTGACAAATTGCATAGGGAGAGACTAGGGTCAGTTAGGGGACTGTTTATCATTTCTGATTGCTGGCTCTTTGGGGAATTAACCCTTTTGCTGTCCTATTTTCTTTCTTTTTTTTTTTTCATTGTAGTCTTTTCGCCTATTAGCACCTAAAAAAAAAGCATGTGTCACTGCTAAAGCTGTCTTTGAAGTTGCTTGAAATATCCCTTTCTCTGCTCTATGTTTTTATAAAAAATGTTTGCATTGAAATGTGTCCCACATGGAAGTGCCCAGCTCCCCTAGCCTTTTTTTTCTGCCTTTTTAGTAGTTTGCTTATTAGCCCTAAAAATGGCAAAATCTACTAATAAGATTTGTCTCTCATAAACTTCAAATGGCAGTCACCACTAAAACTGGGTTCAAAAATTTGTAAACAGGATTTGCCAAAACCTCAGTGTATTGAACCCAGGCAGATTTGCTAATTTCTAGAAATGACATTATACTTTGTCAGCAGTGCACCATGGCAGCCAATCAGAGTTCACTCTGATGATATCAGTGCAGTAGGTGTTAGTTTTTGATTGGTTACTGTATTTACGATTGTCGTTATGGATTACTGCACAGAAATCTTTGCTTAATAAGGTTAATGGTGTGCTATGACTTGAAATCTAATTAAATGGTTAGACTAAGGCTACCTATAGAAAAAAAGAGACAGGAGGGTATTTATCAAAACTGGAGCAGATTTGCACTGCAACCAATCAGCTTCTTTGTCTCATTTTCAAATCTTACCTGAGCAAACTGTTAAGAGATGCTGATTGGTTGCCACGGGCAACCGCACCAGATTCTGACTGCTCCAGTTTTGATAAATTCCCCCTACTTGTGAAAGATCTTTTGTGCCATCAATTGGTTGTTCATTTGTAAAATGTGCAAGCAGTGGTGCCAGAGAATATCAAAGATATGCCTCTAGGGTAACGTAAACGAGCATTAAGATGGTGAAAAAACACGTCACGCAATAATATTACAAAATGAACATCATTTGAAAAACAACAGAAATTTCTCGCTCTACAGACCACGCTTTATGTTGTTTGTTATCTATAAAATAACTTTCATAGAAATGAGCTTTCCTAAATAAATAAGCACAAAAATAGCCTTTTTCTTTAGACAGCCATCTAATGTCTGTAAGTAGCCTTCACTTGTTGAACAAATGCACACATAGCAGACTGGAATTCATGCTTTTTGTTCACAAATGTGGTGCAGTATCTCCTTGGGGTTAGAAGGTAGAAGAAACGGGGGAGACCCATGCATTGTAATGATACAGCTATAAACCAAAAGGTTGCATTTCTTGTCATTGACAAGCCACATAAGGCTAAGATAACAGACAGACGTGATGCCATTTACCATGTGTACCTGTCATTTACTTACATTGTGAGGAGGTGAGGCATTAAAGGTAAAGTGGATGAGTTGACGTGCTCTTGAATGTTTCTCATACATGTCAGTTCTGTGCTTGCATTACAGACCAGCAATGCATGGACAATCACTGAAAATATATACAATAAAAGCACAGCTTTAATGGGTTTATGCAGTGCCTATACAATTAAATCTAGCCAGATATAAAAGGGACAGCTTAATGCAGCTCTGTGTTTTTGTTAGCAAGCAGTGTAAGTACTAGAACGTGACTTGTTATTAGCCTTTTGCAGTCCACTGTACAGCAGAACTAAGTGGGAGAGGAAGAAGCAGCACAAGGAGGCAATCAGTCTATATCACCATGAACATTGGAGTACAAGCAATAATTCCAGGGCCAAAAATAACTGTTAACACTAAACTGATGAGCAGTAAAAGCTTTTAAAGCGTCGCCTATGGCCAATTTTCAGAATGGTATTGTTTTGCAATTTCACAGGCACAGGCAATTTTAAGGCTTTGACTTGTTTGGTATCTATTTACCTGGTGTGACCCCGTCTTTTATATTTTACCCAAAAATTGGGTAATAACAAATGTTTCATGTCATAACGTAGGGAAAACAGGTTTTGTTTTCAATACTTTCTGTACTTTTTTTCTTTATATGGTGATTAAATATCACCAAACGAAAGTTCTATCTGTCCCAAAAAATTATATAAAATTAATTTCAGTACAGCGTTGCATGACGAAATAGATGGCCTGGACAGGAAGGGGGTTCAAGTGGTTAGGAAACACCAATCAGTGCAAAAACCAGTGCTACATTTAAAAGTGATTTATAAAAATAAACCCCTTTTTTTTTTTAAACTTTGCTTTCATTCAAGTGATTTTGAAATAAAAACAAGCAAGGCATTTGGACAAAACAATCCCCATTTTGTACCCTGAAAGTACCAGCTCCTGGGAAAAATGAGCAATTCATTTTGTGGAAACAGACAATAGTTGGAGTAAAATGACAGCGTATACACGTCTGTTTCAAAGTTGGCGACAGATCATAGACAGTGACAATATTCGTTATGACGGATACTGTACAAACATATACACTGTACTCATTAAAAGCCATTCATGAATGTTGTCACCATTTTGGTTACAAAAGTCTTTGTTTTTATAGTTAATTCAGTCACCTACTGTTTGCTGGCCAGTTAGAAGGGCAGTATCCTTTCAAAGGAGAAATCTCTATGTCATTGTTAGCAGAGGGTCCAAAGAAAACGCTGCAAGCGATGAAAGTATCCATTGGATCAAAGTTCAGAGTCTTTGAAACAACCCAGACATCATCTGAAAAATGTGATAAAGTAGGTCGTTATAAATAGTACCATTATATATTACAGCTCAGTTGTAAAACGACAAGGATTCTCAAGATGAATGGACACAGTGCTCTAAGAGTCCCCTGTAAATGTCAGGTCAATGAGCCTGGTGGCTACTGTAACAGGAAAGAAAAGTGAAATGTACATGAGTATATTTTGTCATTCAGTGCTACCTATACTTAATAATAAATACTGTACGTGTGTCCATAAATTTAATTAAAGGAGAACTATGAGGTGAGCGATTTCCACTCATCCTCATAGTTAGAGCCGACCTGTGACAAAGAAGCTGTCACAGGTCGGCTCTATTAATCGGGATATCAGCGAATACACACAATCGCTTGTTCACTTTCCGATCATCTCCTTGCAGTGAGCGGTGACTGTCAGTCACCACTCCCTGCAGAGATTCCCCCCTCCCCTCTCCGATCCTCCAGCGCTGAGTGGAGGAATGGACAGGGGGAGGGGGCGGGTACAGCTGGCTCTGCCTCTAGATAGGCAGTGCCAGGTGTCACTCACGCAGCTGGGTGGATCACGACAGTATTGTCGGGATCCGTCCCGGCTGCGGCGCTCTCAGTATATCGCGGGCAATAGCCTGCTATATACTGAGCTTTGGGTCACGGAAGGAGGTTAGTACATGTCCTCCCGTGACCCTAAAGAGAACTATGGGGAAAAACACTTACCCCGTAGTTCTCATTTAATCTTCAGAAGGAAAGTTGGATGTTTGGATTGCAACTACAGAATAGCGATACAATGGTCCTGATTCCTTAATTAGCAGAACAACTTGTCTTAAACTGATATTAAAGTCATAAGGTTTTAAGCCATTTCAAGTGCTGATGAAATCTCTTACAATGAATGCTGCTTCTTGATGTTTAAAAGTTTTAGTTTCCTGCAGAGTCAGCTGGTCCAATGAGCACTGGTCCTGATATACTGTTTTAGGTTGGCTCCTAAAGCTGTTAGCTGTGTGCGTTTCCACAAATACACAGAAACAGCAAAGCAAGCCGCTCCTCTGCTCACTACTACTCCTTCCTTCTCTAAGCTTTAAGATGAACAGCTGCTGGACTCTACTCTGTCCCTCGTGATCTTGTATTGGACAGGAAGTTAAGGGAGGTGGAGCTGAAAAAGATGGAGCCAGCTATTTGAAATGTGGATAATTTCTTGGGCAAAAACGTAAAGAAATACTTTGCTGTGGATTGTATATTTGTTTGATCTGGATTCAATATTGGAAAAAGTTTGAGAGTTTAATACTATTTTAAGTGTTGTATCAAACATTATGATGACCCACTACATTTGTCAAAAGACTGATGTTTCAGGCACTAACACCTAAAACATCAATCTTTTGCCTCCGTTTACATCAGATTACCCCTGATCTGCCACAATCAGGTCCACCAAAACGGAACTCTGTTCCGTCTGGTTTTCCAGACCTGGGAGGAGTTGGGGGTTATCAGATATAAACAGACTCCTGAAATGCCCGTCTGAAAAGGGCCTTATAGAAAAAGCAAAACATAGCGGTTAACATTGCTTTCACTTTTTTTCCTGATACATCTTTGTGATAAGCTGATATTGTTCTGGACTACTCTGCTCTTGTCATGTTGCAGGAGCACTGTGGGAGATAAAAACATTTACTCGTTTCAATAAAATAGAAAATTAACAAAAAAAAAATCTTAAAAAACTGTATGTCTCCCAAGAGATACCTGTCAAGACACAAGACTTATGGGTTTGTATCCTTATAGAAGGAAGACTGGCAATCCTGTGCTCCCTGCTATACTGATACTAGCCCTTTCAGCAAGAAATGGGGTATCCCACTAATATTACTGTCACCCAATACCAGTATGGGGGGCATAGGTGCCCAATGGACACCAGACACGCTTGTATCTTTTTTTAGTAATAAGGCATAGCTAAGTTCTCCAATTTTAATTGAAACATTACCAAAATGAATATTGCCATTCAGGTGAAGCCATCAAGGTGAATATTGATGGCTTCGCATTGAAACTCCTTTTTACAATAAAATCAGCATGGAATTATGTCCAGAAATGTGTTCATTTAAAAAGCAACTTAATGATTACACTCAGCAGATGGAGGAAATTTCCTAAATAGCCTCCTGAAGACAGCAACACTATGTGCTTTTGCAAACTGAAGACCTAAATGAAGTTTATAGATGATAAAGAGCCTTTTCAGGTTATCTTGCACAGGAGATTAAATAATTACCCCTTTAAGGCAAATTGGTCTTGCCATTTACTATATAACCATCAACACACAGTTGTACGTCCATATTAAATTACCTTTACTATATGCAGATGAGTTATCCTTTCTGTTCAGCTTGAGATAAAGTTTTGTTTTTGATTTGCCACCAAATTCTGCATTCGTATTGACAACTTTTGCAAACTTGCCAAACTGTCGTTTTGGATATCCAGATATTTTCCTGTTAACAGGCAACATAAGAGTAAAGGTATTCTTTAGATACCCGGCATATTTTGCCAACAGCGCAGAACAGTTTATTGTTGAGTTTAGGGTTTTAAAAAAATATGGATTTTTGTACTCACCATAAAATCCTTTTCTTTGAGTCCTTTGGTGGACACAGGAAGTCTTTAACCTTCAGGTTATACTGCTGCACACAGGAGGATTGGACAAATCAGACATTTAATCTGCAGGAGAATGCTAATGGCCTCTGTGATCAATGTCAGCATATAATTGGATGATTTGGGCAGAGGACCCTGCCACAGCTGATAAAGCTAAAGAGACTCCCAGGACCGACTGCAGGCTGCAGATGTCGTCACTGTCAGCAGGTGTCCTGCAAGTAGCCCCAGAGCCATTAGTAGGAAAAAAAAAGCAGGTGGCAACCAGTACAGCTCAACTGTCAACCCACTGGACGACCGTGCCAGATAGCTGTAATTGAAGAGACAAAGTTCCAAGCAGAGATACAAAGAGTCTTAAGTGATGAAAAAAAAGTGCCATCAAAAATAGGTTATGCTTTAACACGGCAGAGCTGAAGAAAATATGTCCATACTCAGTCATGTGGGTAGCAGGAGGGGGTTTTCCTGGGCTGCCCTACAGTCTTTTTGTTTGCCAGTGTCCAGGTGGCTGTATAACCTGAAGGTTAAAGACTTCCATTGTCCCTCAATAGATGAGAATGAAATATATTTCAGTGCAATATTTACAATGAAAGTGCGTGTTAGCTGTATAGTACATACCTAATGATAAGCTGGCTTTCTTCATACAGGTTTATATTCTGACATCTGATGTACTTTGACAGGCTCTTCATGTCCCCTATTACAAGTCTGGACTCAGGTTTTCCCTTCTCCTGCTGTGTCCCTTTTACCTCATCCAACCATTTAAAGTACTTACACTGATCAGCTTTGGGTGCATCACATGTATAAAAGAATCTACCCTAGAGTCAGAAGAAAATTGAATATTTTTACTCATAATTCTTTCTCATGAATTCAGTGGGGTTATTTTGCCCTGGCCACAGATGTAATCTAAACTGAAATAATTCTAAGCATGTTACCTTATTGGGGCCTTCTTTTCTAACCATCACAAGCTTAGCAGGTTGCTGATGCAGGCAAAGTGGAGAAGCTGTATCCTTTCTATTTGCCTCATCAACCTCTGTTGAAGTGTAGAAGGACATGTCCACTTTGGAGAAAGCTTTGTGCAGCCTCTGTGACAGCTCAAACATTATAACATTTAAATGTTCTGTATAGAAACAAATTTAGGTAAAAATTATTTATCTATAATATGGACCCATCATTAAAAACCAAATCACAGTTGGAGGTGTGATGGGCAGTGAAGAATCAGTAAAAGAAAGTTTAATGAGAAACAATCCTTTACACCCTGTACTCAATACAATGGGACACAAACACAAATTAAATGTACTTTGGTGAGGTAGTAATCTAACATATACCGTAATTATAATTATTTCAGCCAAAAGATCCAAGATCTTTAGTGTATGTTGTGAAAAGTGGCCTGAGTGTGGCCAGCCTTACTGTACAGATTAAATGTCTCTATACCCAAAGCTTTTTTTGTTTTGGTTAGAACAAGGAAAGGTTAGAACCCCTGTCAAGTTTTTCTGTTATCCAGGGCTCAGAGAGATCTCCCCTAACGTTCAGTTCTGGGGACAATGTTGAGGGAAAAGCTGCAACGGGGAAAGAGACATCAAAAAGCTAACACGTTTTAGCATACTTAACTTGAAGCATTTTTACTGTCTGTGCTGCTGTTTGAGAGATTCCCCTCCCTTCCTCTTTTGGGGACAAACATTTTAGCAGACAGGAAGTGAAGGAATCTCTCCAACTATAGATCCACTTCAAGAGATAATAAAGATACTCCTGCATATCTGCCTTTACTGCCAATGATTTTTGTCAAAAGAAGAAACAAACAAAAAAGTTACAGGGTCCTGGTGTACCCTGCTCTATCTCATACCAAACTTTCACCTGTCCTGTTTAGTTTTTTTCAAAAAATGGAGGTTAGTTTCAGCTTCTAGTTGCAACAGTAAAAACAGAAAAAAAACAACAGATAACAATGTAAAAGAGATTGTGATAATGCTGTTCTGAGATTCCAAAGTGGAAAATGTGCCCCCAATAATTTCTGAAACACGATAACCGTATAGATTTAGATCTGCTTCTTCAGACCAAGGTGGGAATAAACAATTGTCTGTAATAGTATATAGTTAGTATGAACGAAAGGCATGTTGACCGTGTCCAAAAAAAAACCTCACACACAAGGGATTTTTCTGACCCGGTCGACACGTCTTTCGTTCATAGGCATATCAAGTATATGTTCACATAATGTAACAAAAAAAATCTTATAATCTAACTCTGTGAAAAGCGTAACCTAACTTGTGCGCACCCCCTCCCCCTTTCCCATTTGGTTCTTGAAACAAATTTGTTCTATCAATATGGAAAGATAATGTGAATAATATAAATAATATATATACTTGGGGATGCACATAAAAGACTGATGTGCAATATTAAGGGCCATTGAAAAATAAGGTATAAATGATATGGCCCTATTTTTAATTAATCAAAGATGTATGTTTGTATCCTTTACAATGCATTATAAATACATCTATTATCTTATCTTTTAGATATATGTGTTATCATATACTGTGAATATCATTTTAATTATATGGAGCTTCCTCTCTATGGGAATGATGCTAAAACTAAGGATGTGGTGTCTGAGTTAAGTTAATCCTGAATATGGTACACTTAAATGATTGCATTAACTGTCATACCTGCAAGAGATGCACTGAGGACTTGCTTATAATGGGCCGAAGACTGGAACACAGCTGGGATATTTACTTTTCTTTTAGGAATTGATGCAGACAGCACAATGTGTTTGGGTAGAAACGCAAGTTCACAGGATAGTGAGATCTAAAATGATAAAATATGTGTCTCATTGCCATTAGTTCTATAAAGTACAAGAAAGCTGCTGTAATAAAGTGCAAGAATCATAATTGCCCGACTAGCCTAAGGGACTCTTCAGAGATAGGGCAAGCACCAAGGCAATGCCAGCGGCTCTGGATCTGGAAACGCTCCCCAGCCAACTTGTACCAGAAGTGAGCCTGGAAAGTGCCCCATGCGGAACCCAGTGCCTGAATGGAAACGTCCAGTCCAGCGGGGTCAGGATGTGGTCTTCCAAAAGCCAGGGTGAGGACAACCATGCCACATAGATTCAATCAGAGAGAAACCTCTAGCAGTGATGTACAGAAGAATCTTGATTAAAGAAAAGATTTGAAGAAGAAAAACGTGCTAGCAAAATGGATGCATAATGGTAGTAGTAGGGGTTAACTTAGGCTGGCCTATAGTTTGTTTATTATTGTCAGTGTGCAATCCTCCTGTAGGCGGCATTATAGCCCTAAGATTAAAGTCTCCCTAAATGGAAGAGAAATACATTCCTGTTTATCAATTCTCTGTACCCACTGTACAGCTCTGAGCGTTTCATGATTCTAAACTTTAGTGTACCAGTGCTTTAAACCAGCCAAGATACTGAGGATGCATCAGGGG